GCCTGCTGCTATACGAACTTGAACCATCTCGAGCATCATTTGCTCTGTGCTTCAAGTCGCTACTGATGACGCTGCTTCCGGCATCAGTTTTTGGTTTTTGGTGTCTCTCTTCGTCTGATGCCTACCCTTTGACCTGTCCAGCAATGGAGGCCCTGCCAGTAGCTATGCTACCGCTGGTATAGCTCTCAGGGTCCTTGGCATACTCAAACCCCCACACCACGAGACACCAACGAGGGGGAAAATCACCCTACACAAAAATAAAAAGTGAAATCACCATCTAAATATATTTTATTTGTTTCCTTTTTTATCAATCATACTATTACATTCACGATATTTTTCGGTCGTAAGATGACCATCTTCAGGAGGGACAAACTATTAAAAGAAACTTTACAATATGTGTATATGAATATTAAATTTATCCAAGTCGTTGAACTAAAGTGATAACACATTATAAACAGTTAAATATAATGTTATGTTGAAGCCGACTGAATTGAGCAGCTGCTGGATGCTATCCTTTCAGATTTGTGCTGAGTCATGGTACGCCATGTACTATAGACTCATGCTCGTTTTTTATAGAAAGAGTTATATCTTCTGGGTTATAACGCCAGGGAGTCCCGTAAGTCAGAAATTTGATGCAAGCAAAGTTTTATGATATATAGTGTCTCAATAGGCCGCACCATAGCTCATAGCCACCGTTGCGGCCCGGGTTCGGGCCCATGTCATTTCATGTGAGATTTGTGGTGGACGAAGTGACATTGGGACAGGCTTTATGCCAGTACTTCGGTTTCCCATTCCAATTCTCATTACACCGACTGCTCCACACGCATCATCTATCACCCAGGGTTGGTACAATAAGTCAAACAGTGGGCGACGTACTAAATAGACTCAGTCTCACCCCACCCGAAGAAATTTATGTTTCAGTTCGCGCATTACATGTCTCGCTCAAAAAATTATCCTTTATGTAACAATCCCAACAACATTCAGTGAGGCAAATACGAGGTTGTCCTTGTGCTTAATTAATTCGAGGTATAGCTCTACGCATTTGACACATGGCACTAGATGGGGGTGAGTGGTCAGCTTCAGCCACGAGGAGAGAAGTCATTGTAGAGGAGACTCGGTATGTTTCAAATCCCGCCTGAGGAGGCAAGGAGAAAGTTATTTTACCCTTCCGGAAATCGAAACCCGTATTCGCCAGTCATCCAGCCGGTAGCCTAGTCTCTATACCTTTTACTTCCACTTTATTTCCAAGTCATAATTGACTGATAATCCTACCATACGACGCCATACAGTCCCACCTACTGAGCTCATCGTTAAATAAAAGATCAAGGAATAAAATGACATTCAAAGTTATTATTCGCGATATGAAACCCATTCAGATGGAAAACGTCAAGTGAAACAAAAAGCAAACTAAACGTATCGGTATTTGGAATGTAATTGCGTCACGGTGACTGTGCCTAATAATGGTGCGGTGTCTGTTCCAATTACAGCTTTTATGAAAACGGACTTGCCGGACCGTCCGATACGTGCGCTGGCGAATATCTGCCTACCCCAAAGCGCCACCACCCTCACAGTAGCAGTAGTCATCTGTTGTTACAACATGGGGCTGGTCTTCTGTTCTCTCCTGGTGCCGGTGGTGCTGGAGCGGTTGCATCATCTCATCCCCACGTTCCTCCATCTCCACATTTGCACCCTGCTGCCGAGTACAGCCAACAGTATGGCTATGCTTCGTACCCTGGCCCTCCTCACTGCAACACACGAGACTCCACAGCTGACCTCCTCGCGGACCGCAGGCATGGTGACGAGGAGTGGAAGAACATCCACGTGGTGAGTTGTATGCACTTCATGTTAACAGGATTACAGAAATGGTGTGCTCCTCGGAATCTTAAATTTAATTTAGAAAGGTATCACATGAAATTGCATATTCAAGAAGAAAATATTTTTCTGGTTGAACTTGTAAGAGCAACTACAGTTACTGTTGTGTGGCGCCATAGCTCAAGCGGTTAGTCGCTGGATTCCCACCGCGGCGGCTCGGGTTCGATCCCGGGTCTGGTCAAGTGGGATTTGTGGTGAACAAAGTGGCGCTGGGGCGGGTTTTCTCCGAGTACTTCGGTTTCCTCTGCCAATCTTAATTCCACCAAATTCTCTATCATCATAATCACGCGGGGCAGGCTACAGTAGGCCAATCAGTAGCCACCGTGCTGAGTGGACCCAGTTGGACTCCACCCCCCACTAAGCGAATTAATTACTGTTGTGTATGTTTTTACAGTAAGCAAACCATATGTAATATATGCCGATTTGGATGGATGAGCTACGATATTTTAGGCGAACTTTTGTCTTCATGTGATAATGTGATCCTCCGGAAAGTATTTCTGTTTGTCTTCAGGAAAATTAGAAAACATTAACAGAGGAGAAGAGTTTGGCTTGAAAGTAGCTACAGATGTGAAGAAGGAATCATTTTTTGACACAAAAGCATATTTACAGCTATTTACCAAAATAATAACCCGAAACACTAAAATAGAACGAGTTCCGTCTAAGTCTCTTAAATTACGAAACAGACGAAGGCACAGCAAACGTACTTGTATCTGAGTTATACCTATTTGAAGTATTGTGTGGAATGATAAAGAAATGCCAGTAAAGTTACAAATTCCCTGAATACAGGAAAGGGTACAAATAAATAATTAAAACTTCAATATTTTGTCCCTTTGTGTAATTCCGACTGTTGTGAGGGAGATTTCGACGTACATTTCTGCAGTTCCTCTAGACAAATAACGGGATAATACAGATCCTACCAAAAAGATTGCCGCGATTGTGGGCAACTGCGCTTTAGGAGAGAAAGCAGATATAAGAGCGATATTTTCAGTATATTTTCATCAATTGAAACAGTTTATTTTATTACATACAAGTAGAAAAATTGTTAGGTGTGAAACTGCACAGTGCATCATCTTTAGCCCTACATACATGACGTTTGTAGTCCACCCCTTGCCAGGCGCGCTGTAACATTCCCTTTCCAGTATCTACAATTGCTGCACTTCATCGTATTCATTCTCGGGCTGTACACGCGGTCTTTCACATAGCTCAAAAAGAAAAAGAAAATCAAAAGGTGTAATATCAGGAGGTTGAGCGTCCGGGCAATTGGCCCTCCTTTTCCTGTATATCTACCTGGGAAATTCATCTTCAGTCATGGACACTGTGAGCACTGTTTAGTCGATTTAACCTAAGAATATGGTATAGCGTCGTTATTTATAACAAGAAACTGTATCATCCTAGTTTTCTATGCAGGAAATACGTAGAACGAAATAACTGTGCAGAGGTGATGCTTATCAGTCATTCACCATTTTTTCTCGCTGAAACTACTTAACAGATTTACACGAAATTTGGTATAACATAATCAGGCAATTTTAAATTTTGTGTAAATAGGTCTAATTTAACGTAACTTTACACGAAGCTTAGCTGGAGTTTATCTGTTTTCTCAAAGAGAAGCTAATCCTGCAAAACATTCTATACATTGAACTATGAATATCATTAAAATTTACATTTTAGCCGAAATTCCGGTAAACGTGATATATTAGAAGCATTGCAGAGAACTTTTACGCCTAGGCCTGTAATTTGAAGAAGGGATGGTTTAGTTCATCTTGCACATTAGGTGCTCGGTAAGAAGTGAGGAAATCAGAAGTCGTTGCGAAGGGCATAAATTGACTAAAGACCAAATGTCATTTTTCCTGAACTGACAAAGTTCGAAGCAATCCTTAAAGAGTACTAAAATTAAATCAAAGACGAGCAGAACTCGACTTTACAACCATCCATTGAACATTCTTATTAAACTATAGATTTCAACTACGCAGATGCGTCCTTTGCTGGAAAGTACGTTATTCGTAGTTACTGTAATCCAACATATAACATTACAATAAATTCAGCCCTTTAACTGCGCAGTTGTTAAAAGTAAAATGGCTTCGAAAATTCCCAGAGCCCAGTATTTTACCACCGCATATGGCAATGACTGCAACAATTATTCTGCAGATGCTGAATTGTATCCTAAGTATGGTGGAGAAAACAAAGCGTGCACTAGCCATCTTGCAGCATCGCGGTGCTAATTCTGTGGAGAACGGCGCTGCTGTCGGTGGCAATTCAGCGAACGAGTGGTTGCGACGGTCTGCTCCAACAGACGCCAGCGAAGCCAGAGACATCAAACGAACGGCGGGGGAAATAATGGCACAAACCATCAGGGTCACTGAGGACAGAGTGGCAGAAGTAAAAAGACGAGCAGGTAATAACGAACCGTCGGCAAGCATGTCTCTTTCTCTCTCCATGCCTTCCTCATCAGGTTCATGTTCATCTTCATCTCCATATTCATCTTCTTGTTCTTGTTGTTGTTTATGTTCGTCTCCTTCTTCTTCTCCGCATATAACCACTGCCACCACTACCATTCATTAATTACCCCGCCCCCCATGCAACTTGAAGTCATTTCTTCTTATTCTTCCTAGTCTCTGCCTATTTTATCTATCTTGCCTGGCCCTATTAAATTGGTTCTCCCACTCCTCTTTCTTGTTTTATAATTCTGCTCTCCCTCACACACACACACACACACACACATGCACATATCCTTAGACCTATTATTCAAATTCAAATTGCATCTGTTCACATCTTTCTCTCATTCTAAGCCACCCAGATTCACTCTCCTCTTAATTTCCTCAGTAATCAAATTTTGATTTATTACTGCCACATTTTCAAAGGATCTATTAACTATTTTAATATTATGAATTTTTCCTTGCATTCTGGTGACGAGACATCTACACAAACAAGTACTTATTTTTCTCTGTGTTTACTTCTAGACCAACCACCTTTCTAGCGGCAGTAAGAGTTCCTGTGTTCTTCTTTATGGTATCTATGTTATTTCCCAATAGATTTACATCATCAGCACAGATGACCAGCTGGTGTGTCCCATTTAATTTTGGTCCCACTTAATTTACCTGGACCTTCCTAATGGACCGCCTCTATAGACTAGTGGTCAGAGTTCCTGACTACAGATTCAGAGGTGCCGGGTTCGATTCTCGGCGCTACCAGATTTTCTGAGAACTAGTGTGTCTGGAATGGGGGCCACTCAGCCCTGTGAGGATAATTCAGGAGCTACTTAAATGGAAACATAGCGGCTCCGGTCTAGAAAACCGGGATTAACAGCTATGAGGATTCATTACATTGACCACGTAACACCTTCTATTTGCTAAAGTTGGCACTAACTTCGCCAACAGGAGGCGGTCGCTCTGTCGGTATAGTTCACTTGGAGACAAAAGCCATGGAGGACCTTCCAAATGGCATATTCTAAAGAAAAGTTGTAAGCAGAGGGTGTCATTAACTGATGCAAGCAGAACTTGGACTCTAGTCTCCACCTATCACTCATGGTTTTTGTCACACAGGTTATGATATGTGAAGTGGTTTTCTAAACAATGCGAAATCATGTTGGCTTTCATGTATAGTTCACTTGGAGACAAAAGCCATGGAGGACCTTCCTAATGGCATATTCTAAAGAAAAGTTGTAAAGCAGAGGGTGCCATTAACTGATGCAAGCAGAACTTGGACTCTAGTCTCCACCTGTCCCTCATGGTTTTCGTCACACAGGTTATGATATGTGAAGTGGTTTTCTAAACAATGCAAAATCATGTTGGCTTTCTCATTCAGGTGATATACGTGTATTATTCCTAAAGGGTTACAAACAGCAGTTGGTGCCTTTAGTCCAAATCTTTTCATAAGCATTTTCTCGATAGGCCACAGAGTTCCCTACTTTTGTTTCCCATCATTTGAGTGCCTACCTACAGGTCATTCCTGTGATGGTTTTGACAACCTGGGTTACTTGCTACAGTTTCCTTAATCTCCTTTTATGTTTTAGCAGACTTTCCAGACCAGATAGATCCTTATTTAGATCCAAGAGTGTAAGGTTGCTTGTAGATAGCCTATCAGTCATACATGATGTCACCCCATAAATAGTGTACCTCACAAGGCTGGAAGTTTGATAACCAGAAAGTAAGATTATTTGAGTGATAAGTATGGAGGAATGTTGGAATAAGTGGTTCTGACCCTTTCAGTGGTATTGTCCTGATATTTTCAAGGGATGGACTAAGGAAAACCATGAAAGACCTCAGAATAGAGGTCCTGGATTAACATTGAATATGCCCAAAATGTCAGCATAATGCAATACATCTGCATCAAATGAGTCGGTGAATCTGTGTAATAAAATACAACATTTATTTACTGTATTTTCAAAACAGTTGTTGCCCCCACCACATTGAATATGCTAATGCTCATCACTATTAGACTCAGCATTGCACCTAAATGTACTGTGTGTTAGAAATCATATAAAATGCACTACAATACTCTGATCTGATGAATATTCTTATCTCTTTTAGAAGAAGCAGTGAATGAAGTAAAGCGACAAGCTGTTGCAGAATTACAAAGGGCTGTTGCAGCTGCTGAAAGTAAAGCATGTGAACTTGTTGCAACAGAACGTGCCAAGATGGAGAAACTGTTGCTGGAGGCACGTAAGCAGGCTACTGAAGAAGCTCTGGCAGCAGTTGTTGTTGCCAATCAACAACAACAACAGCAAGCTGAAAGTAGTGAGGTTGTGAACCCACTCCCAGCTCCTTCTCAACAGAATGTAAGTTTCAAGTAACTCTATATAAAACTAATTCTGTTTTCTTATAGAATTTAGGGTTTGGGTATGTAGAGCTATTTGCGGAATGTGCCCACATTTCAATATTTATGTGACTTATCTTATGTTGGTGTGAAACTTGATTTTTCACTCACATGAACAGAAATGAGGATTATTTGTATCTAACCAACTACATGGTCACAACCCTCATTGAGAATCCAGTAGTCACTCATCAAGTCACACTTTTTATAGAACATAAATATTCATTACAGTATTCACAAGAACACAATGCTCGTGCCTGTGCTAAGCCAGATGAACCCAGTTCACACCCTCATACATATATTTGCAAGACCCATTTTAATGTTATTCTCCTATCCCTATCTATGGCTCTCAGATCATCGCTTCCCTTCTGAAATGAAATTCTTTTCTGACATAAAATTTATATGCATTTTTCATTTCTTATGTGTGCAATATATTTCACCCTACTTATCCTCTTTAATGTGATCAGCCTCGATAACTTTAATGAAGGGTATAAATTGTGAAGCNTGTTGGAATAAGTGGTTCTGACCCTTTCAGTGGTATTGTCCTGATATTTTCAAGGGATGGACTAAGGAAAACCATGAAAGACCTCAGAATAGAGGTCCTGGATTAACATTGAATATGCCCAAAATGTCAGCATAATGCAATACATCTGCATCAAATGAGTCGGTGAATCTATGTAATAAAATACAACATTTATTTACTGTATTTTCAAAACAGTTGTTGCCCCCACCACATTGAATATGCTAATGCTCATCACTATTAGACTCAGCATTGCACCTAAATGTACTGTGTGTTAGAAATCATATAAAATGCACTACAGTACTCTGATCTGATGAATGTTCTTAAAACTTTCTCTTTTAGAAGAAGCAGTGAATGAAGTAAAGCGACAAGCTGTTGCAGAATTACAAAGGGCTGTTGCAGCTGCTGAAAGTAAAGCATGTGAACTTGTTGCAACAGAACGTGCCAAGATGGAGAAACTGTTGCTGGAGGCACGTAAGCAGGCTACTGAAGAAGCTCTGGCAGCAGTTGTTGTTGCCAATCAACAACAACAACAGCAAGCTGAAAGTAGTGAGGTTGTGAACCCACTCCCAGCTCCTTCTCAACAGAATGTAAGTTTCAAGTAACTCTATATAAAACTAATTCTGTTTTCTTATAGAATTTAGGGTTTGGGTATGTAGAGCTATTTGCGGAATGTGCCCACATTTCAATATTTATGTGACTTATCTTATGTTGGTGTGAAACTTGATTTTTCACTCACATGAACAGAAATGAAGATTATTTGTATCTAACCAACTACATGGTCACAACCCTCCTTGAGAATCCAGTAGTCACTCATCAAGTCACACCTTTTATAGAACATGAATATTCATTACCATATTCACAAGAACACAATGCTCGTGCCTGTGCTAAGCCAGATGAACCCAGTTCACACCCTCATACATATATTTGCAAGACCCATTTTAATGTTATTCTCCTATCCCTATCTATGGCTCTCAGATCATCACTTCCCTTCTGAAATGAAATTCTTTTCTGACATAAAATTTGTATGCATTTTTCATTTCTTATGTGTGCAATATACTTCACCCTACTTATCCTCTTTAATGTGATCAGCCTCAATAACTTTAATGAAGAGTATAAATTGTGAAGCTTGTGGGAACATCCCACATACTAACACGCGGTTTCGTCGTCTAACAGACAGCACTCACTCCTAGACAATATCACATTTCCACACACATTGCTGCCACCACTCATATTTATACAGCACTCGATGTCCAGCCCACCTGTAGATCATCACGTGTGCTAGCCAATCAGCGCTCACAATCGCAACTGCAAGTTTAAACTCCGCCCAGCAAGCATGGTACAAAAGGGGAGCCCAAAGCTCGCAATCATCAGTGATCACATCCAATTCAGAGCAATCAGTCATCAGAGTCATTAGCTCTTCCTGGCAGACAGCTGCTGCAACTCTCCAGCAACTGCGCTCTACTACCAGACAGCTAACATGGCTGCCGCAGCTCTCCAGCAACCGCGCTCTGCCACTAGACAGCTAACATAGCTGCCGCAACTCTCCAGCAACCACGCTCTGCGACCAGACAGCCAACGCAGTTGCCGCAACTCTCCAGCAACCTCGATCTGCAACCAGGCAGCTAACGTAGTTGCCGCAACTCTCCAACATCCGCACCATAGGCAGCTGTTCCTACAGGCGCACGCAACACCACATTACTGGCCAGATACACCAGCTGAACTGCCGTAGAGACTTGGTCTACTACAAAGGAGCAAATTCTACCAGCTCACTCACGGTGGAACAAACTGCCCTTTTCAGGGCCACCCAACTTTTAACATTCCACATAGCTTCACAGCTGTTCTGTACATTCAATTTATACAATTTAATATAGACAATTATTACAGATTTATGTGGTTGTCTTTTAGAACATTGACAATCCCACAAGCTCC